CTCCTGCACACCCACTGTCGCTGCGATGGACGCAGCCAGTCGAGCGCTGGCGCTGGCCCTGCCGGCAGATGTAGCTGATACATTTGCTAATCGGTCAGAGTATGGCAACGCTCCCCTCTCCACTATTATTCACCGTGATCATGGACGACGCTCGCGCGAGGAGCAAGCCGAAAGCCAGCAGTACCTGAGTCGGGAGGAGGAGATTGCCCTCGTGAGATTCTTGCTGCTCAAGTCCAACCTTGGGCAACCTGTGCGCATCAAGTTCATACGCTCGCTAGCCTTCAGTATAGCACGTCAACGAACATCTGGTAATCGACTGACGAAGCCCCGGGCAAGAACTGGCCGAAGGCCTTCGAGAAACGGCACCCCCAACTCCAGGCTAAAAGAGTCCGATCGATCGACTGGAAGCGCCATAGCAATAATATACATGAGAAGGTCGTGGAGTGGTTCGACATGATCGCACCGGTACTGCAGGACTCGAGCGTCGTGCCAGAAAACGTCTATAACATGGATGAGACAGGAGTCATGCTGAGCATGCTTGGCTCAGTCAAGGTTCTAGTAGGTAAAGATGATCGGTAGAACAACAGAGGTGCTGGTGTGAAGCGAACCATGGTGACGGCGATCGAATGCATAAGTGCTGACGGTAGGGCCCTGCTACCTCTGATCATCTGGCCTGCTTCGACTCACCGAAGCAACTGGACCACATACAAGACAGATGGATGGCACTACGCACACTCTGAGAACGGATACAATGATTCCAAGATCAGCCTGGAGTGGCTCACACGCGTGTTCGATCTGCAGACTAGAGAGCGTGCTAATGGGAAGCCACGTGTTCTTGTGGTCGATGGCTTTGGGACGCATGAAACCCTTGAGATTCTGGAGTTTTGCCTGGCAAACAACATCATCTTGTGCCGTCTCCCCTCTCATACTTCCCACAAGCTCCAGCCGTGCGACGTTGGGCCCTTCGCTCCTTTGAAGACAGCATATTGTGACCAGGTCGAGAGGCTGAACCGTGGAGGCGTGGACACGGTTGGCAAAGAGCACTTCACCTACTTGTACAGCCCTGCACGAGACAGGGCTATGACCAAGAGAAACATCTGGGCTGGATGGGCAGCAACGGGCTTGTTTCCCTTCAACCCAGAAAGAGTGCTGAAAGACATTCCAAAGCCCCCCGCTGACCTTGTCATTCCAAGAAACGATGACGCGGCCAGACCCTGTCCGTCAGCTGACGTGGTGCACACACCTGTCACGCCCGTGACTCCAGTGACAACCGAAGCACTTACAACATTGCATGACATGATCAAAGACGACACTCGGACGCTTGATAAGGCTAGCAGGCAGCGTGTCCAGAGACGCATACAGAAGCTCGCAAGTGCCGCCCGCATATCCTTCGCCGAGCGAGCTCTTCTCCAAGACCACAATCGCTTCCTTTTCAAGATCAACAACGAAGCCAAAGTCCGCCGATCCACCAAGTCGGTTGTCTTGGGGAAGGCAAAGGTGATGAGTTATGAGGACCTCGAAGCGGCACGAGCGAAGAGGGCTGCGAAGGAGAGAGATGCTGCAAGCAAGAAAGAAGGGCGAGGTCGTAAGCGCAAGGGTCCTCCTGCGCTGGAGGCAGACGCAGGTTTGTTGCCAGGGTCCAAAGTAGTGCGGCTGAACGAGGTGATAGCGCCAACGGACGCTCCAGTCCAGTGGAGGGCCCCGGTGGCGCAAATGTATTAGAAAGGCGCTTTGACTGTGCTTAATGAGATCTTCACCCAAAACCTTCGCTTGTTACCCTGTCACCCTTTCATTGCTGTTGACAGACCCTCAGCGCAGTCACGACGCAGATGTCGCCAAAACTTGACCAGTACGGGCATCGCATTTGGGCGTTGTGGTTTGTATCGACATCGCGGTCGCGTGTCAACGTGAGCGACGAAAGTGCTCTAGCCGCGGGCGCATCGAGATAGCGGCAGTGAACAGTGCCGACACTGCGACAGGACATGGTGAGCGAGTCTGGGTTCCTGGAGGGTTCTGTGCGAAGACTGCACCGCAAAGCGCGTAGAAGTGAGGAGACAATAATGTCGTAGAGATGACCATACGAGGAAATGGCCTGGCCGGGAGGCGGAAGCACGAGTGAGAGGACGACCCCATTTTCCGTTATCACACCGACACAGCACGGACCATGCGCAGGCAGCGGCTTTCCACCGCACCAGCCAGTTCACCATCCGTTAACACGCCTCATCACTTCACCCACAAAGCTCATATACACAATAATTGTCGGGCGTCTAGCGGCAACGAACTCCGCAGCTTTGAGGAGCAGAGAAGACGTTCGCTTTCATGCAGGCGACGCGACCACGTCGCATCAGCGGGGTCGCGGCTGAGATGCGCAGCCACGCCCAGCTTGGTGCGCAGCTCCAGCACTCTCTTTCCGCCTGATCATCGGCAGCGCTTCCTGATTGTGTCCTCTCAGCTTCGCTCTCCCACCCGTGGCTCTTCCTTTGTCGTCCTTGTGAAAGTCTGGGCTTTGAGAGGGCTAGGCTATCAGCTCACAGGTTGTTCTTACTCCAGGTCCAAGACATACCTTGCGCTCGCTGAGCATCACGAACTACATCTCAGGCGGCCGATCCCCCAGTAACAGAAAGAAAAGGGCGACACCCTGACGATAGACTGCGCTACAGCTTGCTGGGCTGCAGGTCGATAACAGGAGTTATGTCTGGCGTTCTGGCGAAAGCTTCATCACTAAAGCCTGAGATCCGCCTTGCCCAGGCTGTCTCCGAGTTCGAAGCCGACCTCTCGAGCAAGGAAAAGTCAACATTCCGAACGTTGAGGTCGCAGTCACTCTCAACAACACCTGGTCCGAGCGATGTCATGCGGCTGACGGCCGAGGTTGACCGTCACACATCAAAGAAGTTCAGCAGTGCGTGTTTCGGGCCTCGCTTTACCAGCTTCCTTCACGGGGTCCAGCAGTTCGCTGCGCTTGGGGATGTCGTAGTTGGAGGATCGCAGAACTTGCTGGCGTGCGGCGTGTGGGCATTGGTGCGCATGTCGTTGTTGGTCAGTGTCTTAGTCTTACATCGTCGTCGTGGTCAATCACTGATGCACCGCAGTCAATCGTGAACCTCTCGTCCTACATTGACAAGCTATCCTCGCTGTTCATGGACGTCGGCCGCTCCGCCCCGCGCTACCAAGAGACTGCCCTGCTATATCCGCGCTCTACGAGGCTACAATCATATCTGAATGAGTACTTTATCGTGGTGGTCGGCCTGTGTCGTTACCTGTTCAAGTTCGGACAGAAGTCGACTGTCCAGCAGTTTGCGTCCTCGCTGAGCGATGCGCATCTGAAGACCTTCCAGTCGGACCTCGACAAGTGGGCAAGCTTGATCAAGGAGCAGATGGGTGTGAGTGAAGCTCAAGAGAGCTCTGGCTTCAGAGTTTTGACTAGGGACATCTTCACGTCTGTTTCACACCAGCAGAGACATGCCACCAAGATGCAAGTGCTCGACTTCTGCTCCGCGTACGATCACGAAACAGCGTGGAAGCAGATTAGGAAGGCGGGCAACACATCGTTCCATACACAACATGCGGAGTACCGAGAGTGGAGAGACGGCTCGTGCCCAGGTACGCTTTTGTATACAGGCAAGCTGGGGTCGGGCAAGTCGGTGCTGCTGGCCAACATCGTGGACGATCTTAGCCTCCGCACTGAGAAAGAGAGATCCCAAGTGGCATACTTTTTCTGCAAGCACGATGTCTCAGAAAGTCTTCAGGCACGGACGATTATCGGTTCACTGGCACGGCAGCTTTTACGTACTGTTCCGGACCTTGGGGTACTTGCAATGAGCTGCGAAAATACTCACACCACGGCCGATAGCGAGAAGGTGCTTGAGATGCTCTTTCAGGGCTTTTCGTCTAGTCTCAAAACATACTTTGTCCTTGATGGCTTGGATGAGTGCAATGATGAGGAACAAGAGACGTTGGTGCAGGCTCTCCGGAAGATTCAAGAGAAACGACAAGTTCTGGTCTGTGCTTCTTTCCGAGAAGACCCCGGCAAAGGCCTGCAGCCGATTACTAATCAACTCTTGGCTACTCGCCTGGTCTCTATACCAGACGACAACCCAGACATCGAAACTTTCATCGAAGCAGAGCTCGAGCATTGTCTTCGCCGAAAGCGTTTGACAATCGGAGATCCTAGTATGATCCTGGAGATCCAAGATGCCCTTTCGAAGGGTTCACAAGGAATGTTCCTCTGGGTAGCTCTTCAGATCCAGTCTTTGTGCAGTATGAAGACCGATCATGCCATCCGAGAAGCACTGGCAGACCTGCCGAAAGACCTCTCAGAGACCTTCACTAGGATCTTACAGAAGTCGGGTAGCTCAGACCCAGCACTTCAAGCAAAGACGCTGCAGCTTGTGCTTGCGGCTTGCCGGCCTTTGACAACAGATGAGTTGCGGGAAGCTCTAAGCGTTGTCCCTGGAGATGCCACTTGGGATCCTTCTAGGGTCTTGAACGATGTCTACCCAGCGCTAGCCTGCTGCGGTTGCCTTCTTATTGTAGATGAGGAAGAGTTCACCGTCCGCGTCGTCCACCACAGCGTCAAGCAGTACATGCTCGATGGACTTGATGGCGCAAAGCATATGAGCTTCTCGTCTGAAGACGCGCAAAGGATGTTGGCAGATATTGTCGTTACTTATCTCGGCTATGGTGTCTTTGGAACTGAGTTGTCGAGAGTCAGGGCCCGTCCAATAGTGGCACAATCTGCCCCATCCAAGATTGTGCAAGCCACTATGGGTTCTTCAAGCACTGCTCGCCAGCTTGCCATAAAGTTCCTTGGATCAAGACGGCAACATGCATTCGACATGAGCAAAGTTATTGCAGAGATACGCAGCTCACTCAACTCCAAGCCAGAGCACGCATTCAGGTTCTACGCTTACGCAAAGACATACTGGCAGGACCATGTAGTGTATGTATCCGGGAATCAAGCCGCGATCTTCAAGCTCACTTCCAAGCTGATCTACAGTCGAGTGTCCGAGCTCAACCCGGAGGACAAGGACTTCTGGGCGCGCCTCCAATTGGCTGCCAAGAATGAGAACAGGAAAGTCGTTGAGCTGTTGCTTCAGGCTGGAAAGATCGACGTAAATGCGGGTGTCAACGATGGGCTGACACCACTGCTGCAGGCTGCACGAAATGGACACAAAGACACAGTTGAGCGGCTGCTCAACGCTGGCAAGGCTGATGTTGAGGCTAAGAGCGCCGACGGAGCAACAGCGCTGATGCAGGCGGCACGAGGCGGACACAAAGACACGGTGGAGGTGCTGCTCAGCGTTGGCAAGGCTGACGTTGAGGCGAAGGACAACGGCGGATGGACGGCGCTGATGTTGGCGGCACT